GCCCTCAGCACTGACGTTCCCTCTCACCAGTAAAAGTCCCAATTCATCTGCTCCACTCTCCCCAGCATCAGCGGAGGCTTTCCAGCCATAGTTTCCAGCAACCATGTAAACATCAAATCCCTTCACAACTGTTGTTGGCCGGCCCACATGTACGTTCTTCACTCTTTGGGAATCAGCCAAAACTCCTATTTGGGAAGAGCATTGCCCTGCTTCGAAAGAACATTCATCCAGTACTTGTGTCTTCAATTTACTCTCATCCAATTCCTCTTTTAGCGTCCCACCCTTCAACTCCAGAAGCACCGAGGAAATCCCAGTAAAACCGCATCCCTTCGTCGTGCACTGCGCCTCGGCAACGACAAACACATCACCATTCATCTCAACAAAACTGGGAACACGGAGCAAACTCACTGTTTCATCACCTTTTGTATCTCTCCAATCAAAATATTTCCCCGGTGAAGATCCCTGACATGAATTTGGTTTATCAGTGGCTGTAGCTCCACTGCCGCGGCACATCATCACGAAGAGCAGGAAGAGCAGCACCTCAGAATAGAATAAATGCCGCGACATGTTGGGCCTCTGCCGCTCACTCTTTCCTCCTTCCCTCCTCCTTCCGCTGGATCCGGTCACGCGGCGACGGTTGTGTGTGCGGGGTGCCTTCACTGCAGCAACAGGTGAGTGCATGTAAATATGTGTGTGTGTGGGCGGTGTGTGTGCTGTTGGTCCTTCAGTACCTTCGAATTTCACAGTAGCGTTTAGCGCTTGTTTTCCTTCTTCGTGTGATAGTGGAAGAAAAGTGACAAAGAATTTGGATAGAAAAGGTGAAACAGTGAGCACCGTCACCCATCCACAGTGAGTGGCACCATCATCCCCACCGTAGTCACTCCCAACAGCAACAACTCACGCACACAGACACACGGAACAAGAAGGAAGAACAGTGCACCGGGAACACACAGCAGCTGCCACCAGCAGCAGCAGGAGTCACGGCGGGTGCGTAATTATTCGTCACACATCAGCACGCACTGAGAAAACGCCCACAAAAAAAACAATCAGCAGGATCCAAAAGGATCCAACCGCCTTTCGCAGCACCTACGCGCTGCCGCCAGTCCGTTTGCTGCTGTCTCCTCCAGCGCACCTGCTCCGCCACCGCACGTGCGGCACCACCCCGCACAGCCAGACAATAACGCACCAAATAATCCGCAGCTGGAGAGACACGCCGGCACGCTCAGCTGCTCGGCGGGAATCCATACACACTTATCCCAGGCACTATCAATGCCACGTCACCCATGGGCAGCACTCCAAAAAATTCACGTTCGCTGCACGGCAACAAAACAAGAAGCGGTGTTGCGTCATTCCTCTTCCCAAGAGCCGCCACAGCCACAATCCTGTGCGTGCGTGCGTTCCCAGCGTTCACGCCGCTCCACAGCGTGTGCAACACGGTCTGAGTGTGTGTGCATGTGCCTTTGTGTTTGTCAGCGCCTACACTTGCGAAGCAGCTGTGCGGCAGAATAGAGTCAGAAGAAACCAACGGCAGAAAGAGAAGCGGATAGCACACACGCAAATTCCTCATATCATAAACACACACACGCAGCCCGCGGAATGGGTGCTCTCAACCACAACACAATGAAAAAAACAAAACAAGAAGGAAAAAGCGTGGGACGACCAGCGCACACACTCTCATTGCTCCCGTAAAGCCCAACAGGGAGAGAGAGAGAGAGGTCGCCCACTCAATGCAATGAAAACAAAAACAAAACAGTTACGGTGCTCCGCCCATGCAGCCAGGCAGGACGGCAGCGGTGTGTGTGGTGCAAAAGAGGGCACCAACGGGCCTGCATGGGTGTGCATGCATATATACAATGGGCACATTATGTGTGTGCTTCGTGGGATGAGGTGAGGGCGAGAGTCCATGCAAGGGGACACACACAGAGAGTGGGTGAAAGACGAGTGTGTGTGCGGGCGGTGCATGGCGCTCTCTCGCTCACTCTCACGCGGCCACCACCGCAGGAGCAGCCGCACACGCAACAACAAGAAGAACCAAAAGAGGGGAGGTGGCGTGGGAGACCGCGGTGCTGCTGTCACTGTTTTGTGTATTCGTCGTATCAGTTGTGTTGGAGGTTACTGTCGTTGCTTTTGTATCTTCCACAGTCCCTTCTGAGCCGTTTTCTTGGTGGCTTTGTGGTGTAGCTGCGGTCTCAGGCAACGGAACATTTTTTTTACCTTCACTCGTGGCGTCTTCGCCATCCTGTTCGTGGGAATCAACACTGTCTTCTGGAAGTGATGGAAGATTTCCTCCCGCAATTCCCGCAGGCAGTGTGTTCTCCCCGTTACCCGTTGTGATTGCGTTCTCTACTGCAGGTGTATTTTTGTCGGTGTTCTTCTTTTCTTCAACTTCCGTTTGCGTAGGATTGGCATTTGATTCCCGACTGCCAGAATGAGAAATGCCCTCTGCAGATACAATTGCCTGGCCTGTTTCCTTCTTACTGCCACTTAAATTCTTTTCCCCGGAACCTGGCTCTGATGCAGCTGTTCCTCCTTTACCACCCTGCCCTTCTATACTTCCTTCTTGAGCCTCCGCCTCATCACTATCATCTTCTTCATCATCATCATCCTCTTCCTCTGTAGGTGTGGAAGATGCGGGTGACAGTTTTTCTTTAACACCTGATACTCTACCATGTAAGCTTTGGGTGTCTTGTGGAGACGTTACAAGTGGTGTTGGTGCCGGTGGAGGTTCAACATCACTCCCAGAAACACCGGCACGACCCTCCGCAAGCCCCTCGTTACACCTACCGCCGGCACCGCACCACAACACGCAGAGGGCACACACCAGCAGCACACGGCCAGTCATCATCACTCCTGTCACTTGCGTGTAGCCTTCAGCACACAATAACTCCCCGTCAACGTAGAGTGAAAGCAACAAATGACACGGCACAGTAGCAAACACCAGCAGCAGCAGCACGCATTTCATGAGAAATATTAAACCAATGAAATTCAAAAAACGCACAACGCCCTGTAATAATTTAAAAAAAGAGAAACACACACAGACACACACAAAAAAAAAAAAAAAGTAAACAGGCAGCAATAAAGTAAAACAGTAAAAACACACACAAAGGAGCTGCACAGCATTGCTCCAGCGCGCACACCTCTATTCTCAACAGTGTGTCCACGCAAACAGTTGTGTGCGTGTCGTGCGTATGCGTATGTTTGGGATGCGTTCAACGTGACGGATGTGGGGCACAACGCGGAGCACACAGCAGGGCAGCAAAAGCAAAGAAAGCAAAAAGATATCATAATTACTCTTACTTTATACATCGGACCACAGTGGACACACACATGTCCCCGCCGTTGAGTGCTGGTACGCACAGCCCGCACACACCTCTTCAGCCCACAGTGGTGTACGCCAGCGCGGATGCGGCAAGCACCAGCGGGGAACACACCCACGCAGAGCTGCTGAGGCTGCCGTCGATTTCGCGAAAACGTGACGGTGCGCGGGTGGTCGTCGTGGTTGGCGTCTCGGCATTTATGGCCGTATCACTTGGTACCTGTGTGGTAGTGGTAGTTGTAGTAGTTGGTGCCATTTTTTTAGTTGTGGTTGTTGTGGTTGTCGTATTTGCCTCCTCTTCCTTAACTTCTTTATCAGCTAGCGCCACCTCTTTATTACGCTCCGGATTATTTTCATCTGACTTATCGGAATCACCTGTTGATCCTGGTGAAAAGATATTTTCTTCTGATACCCCTGGATGACCAGACGCACCTCTTCCATCTTGCGAAGTGGGCGCTCCACTTGGTCCTTCTCCTGTACCTGTCGGAGATGGAGCTGCTGGAGCAGCAACGGTCTTCGATTGTCTCTCTAACGAATTGGCTCCTTATCTAAACTCTGTTCATTATCTTCCGTGACTTTTGCTCGTTTATTTTCGGAATCGCTTGAACCCCTGAACCCTGGGGCTTTGCATCCTCTACAGATTTACCAGCTGTATCTTCACTCCCTGTCATGCACACGGACAGGCAGCAGCACAGGGCGAGCACCAACAGGGCGCACAGCAGACGGCACGTCGTCATCATCGTGAGTGTGGTCGTTCAGTGGTGTGGAGCTGATCTGCACAGTGAGGGACATGGAGAGCAACAGGGGAGACGAGAGGTGCGGCAGACACACACAGAGGGCACACCACATGAGGAGAGGGCAGCAGCCAGGCATGCACCGTACGCCGCACACCACGCACGACACACACTCCAATCCACGGCAGCAGGCACACACACACACACACAGCCCTGCCGCAACACCAACACACAGATGGAGGAGGGAGAAGCAAACAGGAGCGGCACACAAGGCTCCACCGCATGCACATACGGCGAGAGCGGTCCGTCGTGTCGGCACCCCTCACGGAGAGTGCGCACACACACAAGAGGAGGTGCAGCGCACATAGCAACGCAAAGGCAAAGTAACAATAAAAGAGGAGAGATCATCGCACACCACGTGGATTGTTGCTCCATGGAAAGCGCAGCCAATATTCATTACAAAGCAACTTGTTATCTTGTTTTAGTTGTGTGCTGCCACAGTAAAGAGTGAGCAGCGCAAGGGCCGTCCGTAGCAACGAGGCAAGTATTCCGTCTCATAGGGGCCGTTGTGCGGGCTGAGGCAGTTCCAAACAGTAGCACGCCCAATTCCTAACGACGGGGCATTCCCACAGTGGATGATGCGGGGTCTCCCGTTGTCACTGGGCATGGGGGATCAGCAGCCCGTGGCGTCTGTGATGCAGCGGTTGCGGAAGAGCCTGTTCCATATTGAGTACCCGCGGTTGTGCTTCCTGTGTGTTTTTTGCTTGTTGATACGCTTGGCATCTTTGATAGCGACCCACGCGTGAGGCACCTGTTAGGAAGACGGTGGCGCCATTGCGGCATCCGCATGCGAGGCGTTCTTCGACCATTGGAACACCAGGATGCGCACGTCCGGCAAACGCCCTCATATTGTGGGCGGACGAGCGCACTCTGCCGCAGATCGGGCAGGGCGACGTTGATCCGCTGCTCGTCATTCTACGAGGAGTTGCCGTCGACACGCCAGGTGGAGGTTCCGGAGGCAGGAGCGGGTCGATCTCCTCGGTGAGGGAGGGAAGGCGCTACCGACATAAAGGGCTGCCTGTAATCTGCAGGGCGTGCGCCATTCTACCGAAGAGTGGGCAGGAGTCGCATCGCAGTTGTGCGCAGAGCTGCGGGTCGTGGCACAACATTTGGCCGGACACAATTAATAGAGTTTTCGCTATACCGACGAGCGCCTGTAGTGTGGTGTGTGCGCCTTCTTCCTCCTGGACTTCCTTCCAGCATAACCTCTCGACGGCGGTAAGGAAGTCCACGTGCCGGATTGGGATACCCCATTGCGGGGAGGGAACTTGCAGCCGCGGCTTCTTCGCCAGCGGCCTCATTGCGTGGAATACCGCAGTGCGAAGGGGAGAACATAAATTCTACAGAGTGACCTCGCCTCATCAAGAAAAGTAGCATAATCCAAATTTCTTCAGTAACGTAGTCTCGCACGGCCAATGGACCGACGCGGTGCGCCTCAATTGCCGACAGGGACTCCGTAGCCACCAGGATTCGTGTGGGCGATTGGGATGTTTCCCAGACGAGGGGGTATGAGGTGTCTAAAGCCATTTTTAATGGCAAGGCACTCTGCTCTCTACGAGCATGCGAGTCTGCCAGCTGCTGCACGATGGACCTCCACAGGGAGATCATTTATCTTTGTGGGGCCGTATAATAGTGCAGCGGACCCGGATGCGAGTCCAGCGAGAGATGAAGAACCGTCCGTCCATGATTCAAAATTGTAATCTCGTAAAAAGGTAAATGGAATAATATTCTGGGCCACTGGCCGGATCCTGAAATTATCTCAAGAAAGCAAAAAAGAAAGGGAAAAAGGAGGGTATCGAAGAGGCAGTTAATTGCCTCAATATTTTCTTCTGATAATATATATATATATTCTATTGACCGCTCACGTGGCCTTTTGAACTCGGATTGGATATATATATTTATTACTTACGAATTGGCAGACTTTGGGGTCCTCTAGCCACAACACCCCGCCGCTCCCTTTTGTGAAGTCCTGAAGTGTAAAACACGCGACCGCGTGGCATGCCGTCTGCGGGGTTTTCCGCGGACCGCACGTATGCAAAGGATGCTTGTAATCTGCAAGACTCCAAAAATTCATATATCCGTCGCAGCTCCCACGTCATGACGTGTGATTTTGGGCTGCCTTTATTCGCCGCTCCTCGCAGCGAAGTATTGTCCACCCAAACGTCAGTGGTGGGTGGCAAGATGGCAGAAAGGCCGATAAGGCCAAGCGTACCGCGCGCACCTCGGCCTGCATGATAAAAAAAGGTCTCTTCTCCCATTTCCCTCAGGCAATTTTAACGTCGCCGGAGTCTGGAATAAAAAAGGCTCCCCATCCCTGGAGCGATGCGTCCGTGATGATGGCGGCTGACGCCTTTTCCGTGGGCTTGATGTTCCGTCTACAGTTATCCTCGATCATTTGTCGTAATCTCTCGCTCAAACCAACCGCTGCTGGTGGAAGGTTCGTCGGGGATGTCTCCTGCACAATCCCCCGGTTAAGTGCGGATAATCGTCGTCGAACTGCCTTGATGAAAAAGTGGCAGTCGCATAAACGCGTGCCTAAAATGGACGCCGCATATAAAAAGCGTGACGCCATAACCTCCACTTCCGCGATGGTTAAAGAATTGAGCGCCAGCATGGCGCATACAGACCGGACAAACTTGTCACTCAGGGATACCGCCCGGTGAGCATGATCAAAATGCACCCCCAGGAAGGTGTACTGCGTGGCGCCCGATTCGCGATCTTCTCCCATCGTAGCGTGACGGCCGTCCGCATTACGAAGCACTTGGGCCTCCCACAATGTCACATCGCTTTTCGACCCTGCAATGCGTATATCATCGATGCAAACGTCGGCACGCAGCAATGGAGGTGCAGTCCAGAGGGAGTGAACCACCGTCGTCACCCCGCAATTGCTGAAGTAATAATCTGGAGAATTTCTGGGCTGGCCTTGTATCCCATTGGGAGCCGTGTAAGCTCCACCAGCGTGCCGTCCTCCACGCGGCATCAAAAGAGATGCTGAGTCTCTCGCGGTAAAGAGAAATGAAAAAAGGATGCCTTTAATTCCAGGCAGGAAGCGGCCTCAGCCATCACAGCCGGCAAATAATGGGAAATGTGTAAAAGAGGAACATTGGCCTCATAAGGGTCGTCTCTGTTCTTGTCGCGCGGCCACGCGATCCATCGTCGTCGTAAACCGGTGGTTTTCTCCTCCACAACCGAAAAAGGTATTATCCATCCGCCTGTTATTGTGGACAAAGCGTTCTCGATAATTCCCGCCTTTCGTAACAAACGCGCGTCAGCGGTTGGAATCCTCCGTGAGCTTCCGCGCGCTTCACCTGTTGCAAAAAAGGATTGAGAAAAAACGGGACCGCCCGACGAGTCCCCAAACTTGCATGAGTCTCTCCAAGGTAGCCGGGTTCAACCGGCCATTGATCCACTTTGGTATTCAATACGGGCACGTTGAATTGCTGCTGTAGCGGGATGCTTCGTTCATCTTGTGGAATGGCCAGACGCGTCCTTGTCGCGCGCCGCTTAATTTTGGCAGCGTGATGATAAAAATCATGGAAAAGACGCTCCTCTGCTGTCAGCCAGGGTTCCTGCCCTTCCGCAGTTCCTTCCTTCACACCAATGTGACCAGCGACGACACCTGGGTCAGTACTGTGGTGTGCTTCCCCAAATATTTCAGTGTATTCTGGGGAAGTTTGAACGGATTGACGTGCTTCACCAACTGCGAGATCACGTGTGGGTTCAAGTTGTGTGTCTCCACGATTTCAACGGCATGCCTCGACGCACCCCGTTTTGTGGAATGCGCCGTGGCATTCCAAGAGGCCAGAGCTCGTTCGACTTTGGCATTAGTAATATTCGTGGGCTTTTCGTCGCGTCGAAGTGTCCTGCATAAATTCATAGTGTCGAACGCGTCCCGTTCTCGTATGCTGACGAACCGCGAGGCTCGGTGGGATCCGCTTTCGCCGTCTTCGGCGCCACGGACCAATTCAAAATTAAGGCCCCGTCCGGCTCCATTGTGGAATTTTTGGGGTTAAGGCCGCAATCTTGGGCCAACGACTCGCCGTTATCCACGCAAGTCGTAAGACAACACGTTCCCTCCATTCGGTCCGACTGCGGATAACTTGATTCATCCCTCTCTTCCTCTTTCAATGGGCGTGTCTGTTTCGTCTCTGATCGCGCCGCAACTTTTTGTAACCCCAGAATCATCATGCCCAGCGGGGTTAGATACATTTCAAACATGGACCGCAGCGTCCTGGCGTACTGCGGTCGGGTCGATGACGCCACATCTAATATTGCCAACAAAAAGGCCGCGCAGCTCTCCTCGTTCATCGGCTGTTCGTGCGTGCGGCGAAAGGTTGTAAAGCGCCCCGCTAGTGAAATTCTCTGCTCCCGCTTTGACGGCGCACACAGTTCTCGCGCCACCTCGTTCGCCTTCCTCATGTAGCTGGCCCAAAGCGGGGATGTCGGTGATTCGTCGTACCACGGTCGAGCGTCGTTGGCGGATAAGCTCCGTTGCCGTTTTTTGACGGCCGTCCGCGCTGTGAGTAATTCTTCTGGTTGCGCCCCGGACGTTGCTTGCAGACGCGTCGTGCCCATAAACGCCGCACAATCGACATCGCGACAATCGTTGCGCACCTCGCCGTTCCATGAAAGGCTGGGTCGCCCTCGCAAAGACGTCAGCCTCATGAACGGCGGTATGAAGACGGGCGCGCAGTTTGGGGTACGGGATGTCGGGTTCGGACGCCATCATGAGCTGCATCCGGAATTCCTGCAGTAAAATCCTGCCCAATTTCATGATAGGAGAGGCCCCGCTCTGCTTCCAGCGCGCCCATCCACGCAACCAAACTGTCGAAGGAAAGTTTAGCCTGGTCCTCCGCCTGTTACCAATAATCGTATGCGTCCAGGGTGTCAAAAAAGTCTCCGGAGACGCCCTCATTCCAAACACGCGAGGGCCAAGTGGTGACGTCAAATGCACAGAAATGTGGTTCCTCCTTTTCCGTAGCGGAATTTGCTTCCAAGAGGGATGTGCGGGAAGGCAAGGGCAACAAGGGATGAAAATGTGGCCACCAAAATTGCCCTTAGACGTCTGTGGCCGTCTTTTTTCGGCCTGGCTCCGTTGGGCCGTGCGTGACGGCGCACAGCCCGCCATCAAGCGATGCGTGTGATGCGGTTGTGCGGTAACGCCATCTTCGACCGTGTTTTGCCGCGTGACGGGTCCATCTGTCGGGCCTCTCCGAGTGGCGGGGCTTCTTCCCTGCCCGCCGTCTCCGCCTCCCACGCGGATCGCTGCGCCTCTCTTGCGATAACGCGCGACTCTCGTTCGTGGAGTTTGGCACGGGTCGCCTCCAACTGCTGTTCGCGTCCGGCGACCGCGTATTCTCGTTCTGCATGAAGGCCGCCGGCGGACGCAATGTTAGATTCGCGCACCGATAGGTTGTCATGCGCCTCTTCCACCTGCGAGTTAAGCTGAGCGCCTCGATTCTGCACGTCAGCAGTGGCGTGGGTGTGGCCCGCGCTCAAGCGCTCCTTTTCAGCAATGGCGAGCCGTTTTTGGATCCCCAACTCCTTTTGGCTCAGCCGGCCACCTCAACGTGGTGCCAGGGTCTAGTACTCTTTGCTAGAGAGGAAGCTAAGCGCCTGCTGCCCATCCGCTGCACGCGGATGGGCAGTAGGCGCCGCTCAAACGGGTCGGAAGGGCACCAGATGGAGCCATTTACATGGCTGCCCGCGGAGCGGTATTTCTATCCGCTGCTGAATTCCATCGGCGCTTATCAGCGCTATACATACTGTTTGCGTGCCGTATGTGACGCGCAACGACAAAAGCTACTGCTAAGCGGAGACATTGAGCAGAACCCAGGCCCCATAGCAGTACTCCAGATGAACGTTTCTTGCCTCACGCCGTCAAAACTCGCAACATTAATGGCGCAATGAGCAGACATAATAGCCATCCGGGAGACTTGGAAGTCGTCGGGGCAGATCGCCAGCATGCATACTGGAGATTATGTGCTCTATGCACAATCGCGCATCGGCAAGGGAGGCGGTGTGGCGGTGCTGGTGCGGAAAACTCTCCGCTCCAAGCGTATACCCCTCACCATCCCCCAGCATGACACCAGCCTTGAAGTGGTGGTGGTCCAGGTTGCTCTGGACCAGAACCGTGATCTTATCGTAGCGAGTGCCTATATGAGACCACCACCGCAAATATCGCAATCCTTCAGGCGGTTAGTAAACTGCCTTCCAGCCTCGTCGCCGCTCCTGCTGTGCGGAGATTTCAACATGCATCACCCACAGTGGGAGCCATTCTTGGAGTCTTCTCCAAGCGAGGTTGCTGCAGAATTTTCAGAACTGTGCACGGATGCGGGACTCACCTTGGTTAACACCCCTGGTGAGATCACGTATGCTCGTGGCACAAGAGAACGATCCTGTATCGATCTGACATGGTCAAAGCATTTGACTGTGTTAGATTGGTCAGCTTCTGTGTCGCCGCTTAGTGATCATTACATGCTAACATTCACGCTGCATCAGGCATTTAAGGATACCATACCTTCGGCACCCCCTTCGGTACCTAAGACATTCTACAGTTGGGGGAAGTGTAAATGGGATTTATTTGTCAAGGACTTCGACGCACAACTTCCGGCATACGACTATAAAAAGCAGTCCACCGGCATTAAAGCTTTCACGAGAGCGCTTATAGCTTCATATCGACGACATTGCCCCCGCGGCATGCACAAGGATGGTCCCAGGCTTTGGGACGACACTCTCATGGAGGCAGAGCGGATTGCTACCGACAGCAAGGCCCGCTATCTACAGTTACCGACGCCCGACCGTGAGGCAGAAATGCAACGGACAAGGAGTCAATTCTTCCTCCTACTCCGAGAGCGCTTGCGCAACACGTATCTACGTCGCATCAGCAAGTTAAATCCAGGCGAACCACTCGCATGGAAATACATTTCCGGACGAAAAAAGGCATCACCTCCACCTCCTACATCATTGTTGTTGGGAGATGGTCAACACACTTATAAAACAGCAAGGAGAGCAGCGAATGCTCTCAATCGCATCTTTTTTCCTCTTCACCCCGCTCACAAGGCAGTAAGGTTTTCCAAAGGCATCAAAAGACAGAACCCATCTTTGGGCATTATTTCTTTTTTTTCTTTTTAGGCAGCAGAACAACTACGAGTCTGCCGCTACATCTAATTCAGTTTCTTCACTCTCATCTAGTTCCGAGCCACAGGATAACAACGAAGCTGCCACCACATCTGGTTTAGTTGCTTATTTCTATTCCCCTCTTGATGCACCTTTTAATCGTACGGAACTGCCTGCTGCGCTACGTAATACGCCGTATGGCAAGGCCCCCGGACCGGATGAAGTCTACAGTGAGGCACTGCGACATATTTCGTCAAAGGGTCTTCGATTCCTTCTTCGTTACATTAACCACAGCTGAACGACCGGTACAATCCCGGCTGAGTGGAGACGTGCTGCCATCGTCCCACTCTTAAAACCCGGTAAGTCGCCGGAACTGCTTGAGTCGTATCGACCCATCAGCCTTACTTCCATTGCGAGTAAGGTTGCCGGGGGTATGTGGCGTCTTTTTCCGTTTCGGGTCGCGAGAGCAGGCTTTTTCACATTAGGGTCGAGATGTGAGGGGCGGTTTTGCATTCGCGACATGCGCGTATTCTTCTTCTTATTCTTTCGTATTTGTGTTGTTTGTCTTAGCAGGGTGTTTTTCTTACTGCCGTTTTTTCGCGTATTTGTTCACGTGGCTTGATAATCCTTTTTGGGCGTGATGGTAAGTGTGGCCACTTGTGGCTTCCACACTTTTTTTATCTTTTTCTTGGTGGTTCATAATGAGCGGCATTGTTTTCTTATTTACTTCTTTTTCGTTGCTGGTGTGCTGAGCCCACCTCTTTCATCCTTTTCGAACAAAGGGGTATACGTTTTAGGGATGGGACGGGGTTTTGGCAGGGGATCGAGGGTTGCAATTGTGACACATGCTCAATTGAAAACTGCGGGCAAAAAGACTCCACGTGGCCTTCGTGGGTCGAGACAGAAGAAGCGCAGGCGTTTTCAACAGAAACATGACGAGCAGAGGAAGTTAGAAGAATCTCTGGGAATGAAACCAACAAGTATTCCCAAGAGCGAGAAACCTTTGTCCCAGCAGGTGGCAAGTATCCAATTTCCTCATGTTGTGAATAAACGACAAAAGGGCTTCAGGCAGCTAAGGCGACAGATCGTGGATAAAGTAAAGGACCTAAGGCGTAGGCACGCAGAGAAGAAAAAGAAGCAAGCAATGAAGAGTACCAATTCATCTAAGCATTAACTGAGTTAAACTATTTGAGCATAAAATTAAGGATTTTTTGTGGATTTATAAAGAGGGTTGTTTTTAGCATTGGACGAGAGCATACTGAACGAACATCAATCTGGACTGCCCCACTTTTTTTTTTTTTTGAACTTATTAGAAAAGGTGAAAGAGAAAAAAGAAAGCTAATAGTAATAATAATATTAATCACACGCACACAAAAAAGCATGTCCCATACTGCTGAACATGGAATGGAGGAAGCCGACATGAAAGCAGAGAAAAGGGAAAAGCTAAGGAAAGGACTTCAGGCCCTATTTGCTGCAAAAAATACCTGCGTCCATAAAGATTCTGATGAGGAGAGTGCTGAAGAGGAACTTCTGTCGGGTGGCCAGGGGTCACGGGAATGTCATACGACCCCAGAGGCTGTTCTTACCATTGACACTAAAAGTAAGGTTATTGAGATAAACAACGTTCGATTGTTTTCGTTGGATGAGGTGGAGCTAGAAAAGTTCACTGATTGTATTTCACTTTCTCTTCGAAAAAATCTTATACACGAACTCTCTCCTTTTCCGGAGGATCTTGCTGCTCGCCTTGAGGAGTTGGATCTGTTTGACAACAAAATCCGCAAAGTGAGGGATTTTTTTTCAACAATAAGATGCATGGGGGAATCCACTCTGAAGGAAAACGTGACGGGAGCTTTTGGGCATCTTACCAAGTTAGATTTGAGTTACAATCAAATACGGAATATTGGGGGTCTGGAACCTTTGGCATCAACGCTAAGGGAATTGTATTTGGTGGAGAACAAGATAAAGGAAATCAAAAATCTGGATTCACTTTTAAACTTGGAGCTCCTTGAACTGGGGGGCAATAGAATTCGTGAAATTGGACCGGGTTTAGCAAAACTAACAAAACTGAAGCAGCTTTGGCTAGGCAAAAATAAGATTGCATCGATTGGCACATCACTTCAAACCTTGGTTTCCTTGGAAATTCTCAGTCTTCAGGCTAATCGTTTGACCAGTATTGAGCCTGACAATTTTTTGGGTCCGGACGCCAATCCACATCTCCGTGAATTATATCTCTCCGAAAATGGGTTGAAATGTATTCAAAATTTGGGTCATCTTCCTATGGTGCAGCTTATTGATTTTAGTTTTAATCCCATATCTGTTATAAATGAGGATGTGATAAACCCCAGAAACATGCCCCAACTCATAGAATTCTGGCTCACGGACGGAAAGATAGAAAAATGGGATGAATTGGGTAAACTGAGCGGATTTAAAAACACCTTGAGGACAGTTTATCTTGAGAGAAATCCAATTGAAGAGGATAAGAGATACCGTGATAAGGTATACATGCAACTTCCTTTCTTGGAACAAATTGATTCTTGGCCAATTGTCAACAAAGGAAACCTGGAGGCCGATCGAAAGAGGAGGGCCTAGAGTTTGTCTTGATTTTTTTCGTATGTTTCTTTTTTCTCGTTTTTTTTTTTTTGGCGTTTTACCTGTTCTGTTTTATTATTGTTGTTTTTTACTTTGGGAGTGTGTAAAAAAGAGTGTTCGCGAGACGACAGGCAACCTTAATTCATACATCTTGATGAAAAGAAGGTGTTACTGTGCGATTTATTCCTATTTTGTTTTCCTTTGGTTAACCGCGACTGAAGGTATCAGGGAATCGAAAGCGGTAAGGCAAATTTTATTTTTATTTTTATTTTGGCCTTTCCACCCGTCCCTCTTTTTGATGCCCACCGTTCGCGACGGGGTCTTGTGGCTGGAGGATTTTTAGTTCTGCCACGTCGTAAGTAACAAATATCTCCAGCCCGAATAGAGCGCAGCGTGTCACGATACTGGTCATCCGAATATATAAATATGGAGGAAACAGCGAGGAAGTGGCGAACCCACTGCCTCTCTATTACACCCCCTATCTTCCCGTCCTATCTTATTTATGTGTAAATTCACGATCCGGCCAGCAGCCCAGAGAAGTATTAGGAGCGTATTTGCATATGGCTATGTAAGCATACGAGAAAATTTGACCTTGTGATATGTTTTTATACGCGTTGTTATAACTGTTTACTTATATATACTCTTTACTATGCGAATAAATATATGTTCTCTATTTTTCTTCCTAATATCTTGCATGTGACATGATGAACGAACAGTATACACGAATAAGAGGGGTGCACCACACACAAAAAAACATAATAATAATAATAATAACCAAGGGGAAGAAGCAATGCAACAAGTCCCTCCTGAGATTAAGGCTATGAATGACCAGCTGCAGGTTATTCTTAAGGGTAATCAGGAACTGGGTAGTAAAAAGAGCAAGCTGATCGAGGCTCGCCGACGACTTGGTGCTCAGAAGAGCGAGAATGAGATAGTGCGAGATGAAATAAATAAACTAGAACCGGATTCTAGGGTTTTTAAACTCATTGGTTCTGCTCTTATTCTCCAGGATCAGAGCGATGCCAAGGCGATTGTAAACAACCGACTTGATTACATTAATGGTGAACTAAAAAGGACAGATGCTTCCATTGCCGAATTGGAGAGGAAGGAGAAAGAGGCCCAACAAAAAGCTGAGGAGTTGTTCCGCAAAATGCAGGCAAAGCACGCACAAATTCAGCAGCGACAACAACAGCAGCAACAACAATAAAAGGCCTTTATGTTCACATGGTAACGCATGTGATATGGCTTTTCTTCTTTTTTCTAAACTGATATTGGCGGGGAAATTTTTTTTTATTGCAGTGACTCTACTTTTTTAAAATTTTCCTTGAGGCTGAGAGAACGCACATACAGTTTTTTTCCCCACACATATTTCTTTTTGTATAAATGTGCTTATATCATTGATTCCATTTTAGTCAGGTTCATGGAAGGCCAAAAGCACGACTGGAGTAGTGCCCATGCTCAGTTGTGGACTTCTTTCAAAAAGTCACAAAAAGGGAATAATTTAGGTGAATCAAATACCAATGTTAGTATGGATACAGTGACACCCGTGAGCTCTGTCTTTGAGCAAAGCCCTACGATTGGGCGTGATTTAACTTCTTCTATTCTAGATGAGGTTAAAAAGAGAACTCGTCTTGATGAACCGGTGCTTTCGAACAAGCTGGAGGATCAAATTATTGGGCTTGTCGAAGATGTCAGAACGGATGCTTCCGTTCGTGAGTTATTATCCGCCATTATTCATTTGAAGAATCGTGTAGAAAAAGCCAATAATGAGGCTGTTTATAGACAGGATTCACTTCTGCAAGTGGCTGACGAGACACTTTTTCATTTGAATGGTCAGAAAAATGCTGCCATTGCACCTGAAGAAATGGTTACTGAAGGTACCGGGGCTCTTGGTGTTATAGAGAGTCGTTTTTTTGCCGTACTTATACAAGTCGAAAAATGTAAAAAAGCGATAATGGCACTTGCGGAGAAAAACGGTTTGAACAAAACTGTTTCTGGCAACAGTTCAATGAGAGAAGTTCTGGAATTCTTAACTTCCTCTAAAATGCCTGTATCAGAAGGTGCTGAATTTGATAACGAAGAGAACACGATGCTTCACCAGGTAATGGATATACTTGGATTTCCATCGGGAACCAGCTTGGATCAAGCTCCTGATTTGGCATTAAAGGTTATGAAGGAGTTGGAGTTCCTTAGAGAAGAGAATCACACAAATTCTCTTCTTATTCTTCAGTATGAAAGGACGGTGATGGCCAAGTTTGCCTCATGTGGTGTCGTTTCCCCTCCCACAGTAGAGGAAGAAAGAGCAGCTTTGCTTTCTGAGAGTGAAGTATTGTACCCGCATTCTGACAACCAATGGATTAAGGATCATTTGAGAAGTTTGGTTTCGGTTATGACAGAAGTGAATAAAAATTACCAATTAGACGTGGTTCCCAATTGGCTTCTGGGGGGACCCCAAGAAGCATCAGCGGAAGCGTTTTTGAATTACATGCGTACTTCTATAGGGGGCGCCAGAGAGTTGTTAATCCTTTTGGCAAGCGATCTAATGAAGGCGAAACACTCCCTTCTTGAATTGCCACAAAATGAGAAGACGTTGAATATGATGATGAGAATTGTTAGTTGTTTACCGGAAGGCGATCAAATTAAAATTAGAGAAATGACAGGTGATTTGGACAGCTTGGCTGATTATGTGGAGGATGCGGTGAAGTCACTTGTCATGGCCTCAAGTGTCCAGGAAAATATGTATTCACAGGTGAAAACATTGATTTCCCAGATTGCATATTTAAAGGATGTTGCGGATGGAGGGGGCCACAACGCCCTTGATCAAGCTACCTTATCGTCAATTGTGGGCGCAGCAGAGGATTTGAGGGTGTGGGTAATGGAGAGATATGGGGTTGATCGAAGACCAGAAGATGCCATTATTCAAGAAAGCCTACACGAGCTTGCACAACTACTACCGACAGGTCTAGCTCCTAGTTGTACTGTGGGTGAAGTTCGAATTGATCCTCCCGTGAACAATATTCTGGATATGGTACGCCTATTGAAAAGCCGAATTGAGCGGTGGATTCAGGAACAACAAAAGCAGCAGCTTTCTGGGGCACGCAGTCGTTTGGGAAAGGCTCGAGTGGAAGAGATTGTAAGAGAGCGTAGTAAAAAGCTTGTTAAGATTACCAAAGAGATACTGTTGAGTTCAGGAAATTCAAGTGAAACGGAAGATATACTTGGCGCACTCTCAGCTGAATTGATGGACGGCCCCACGACTGCTGTTAATGGTGGTAATGACGGAAATAATAATAATAATAGTAATAATAATACAGGAGGTGAAATAGCTTCTGTTGCCACCGTTTTCGATGATCTTGAGGAGAGGTTGAAACTTGTTAAGGTTCGTCACCATCGACTATTTCAGTCTTATGCGGCCGATAAAGTTCGCCTTGAGAATTTGATTCAGTCTAGTAACGTCCATAATAAACGTTTCTCGCGTATTTGTACTTCCGTAGGGGCTATTTGCCGCACGGTGGGTCTTGAGCAAATTGGCAGTCGACTTGAACGGGACTCCAAGGCAGAAACGGTGTCATCTTCGTCTCAACTTGTACTCCGTCCAGAGCAGAGAAGGGAAAACGTCGTCCAACCTGTCAATGACGCTGAAATCATTGAGGCGTTAAGGCTCATAGAAGAGCGCCTGGTAAAGAACGAGGCAATTGTGGATAGCGCACAACAAAAATCCGAGTTGCTCCGTTTGAAGGAAGAGGAAAAACATTGGCAGGAGGAAACGGGCACATTTCGTCAGGCAATGGAAATGATTCTGGTGCGGTTAGCGGAGGCGGGAAGGCGCATTAAGTGTACCCTTTTCATGCTTGGGACCGATGAATCTGCTGAGGATGAGGTGGTGGAAAGCGTTATTCGTCAGCAACAGCGAAGCTTAGAAGAGGAAGGAGTGGAGAACAAATACGACAGCGCAGGACAACAACGGCAGCATGAGGTTAGTGAGGAGTCACTGGCAGTGTTGCTGCAGAAATTTGGTCGCTGGGCAACGCGATTACAGGAGGCAACGGAGGATCACTTGTACACACAACAAAAGTTGAATAAGTATTTTGCCGATGTACATCGTCTTTTCTGCCCAACCGGGGACGCCGCGGTTGCACAAAAAAATACTACAGATGAGAATCTTATAGATATTGATACCACGCTGATGCATTTTGCCGATGGTATTTTGCCAGTAATTGATCGGGCCCTCGCTGATGCAAAAGCCTTTTCAAACAACAACGATGCCGGCGGAAAAGGAGCAGGATGCGAGGATGGGGTACGCTCCAAGGCAATTTCTATATTGTTGCAAGATGCCCCTCAAAATCGTGTGTCGCATATGGACCACCGGTTGGTTCGTCTATACGAGTTTGTGGGGAAACTACGTACAATCGTGGATGGGCTGTTGAGTGTGCGATATTTATCGATTCCATTGTCAAGCCGTCGACGCGGTGGTAATGCAGCGGATGAGTTGATATTTGAAGACGCATGGGGTGATAGCTACGTTGAGTTGGATGTCGGCAAAATGAAATGCGCTACCACAACCGATAAAGGGGACACTGATGCACTCAATATGAGTGACGATATGCTTTTCCGCACGGTGGAGTCCAACATCCGAAGTGTCCACCAGGCACTCAGCAAGTTCAGCACAAACTACAAACTTGCGGTAATATTGGTGCAGAAGGATACAGATATGATGCAGCAGTTTATCGCATCTATGCTGGAGCCGTATGTGGAACTTGACTTGGAACGTGTCTTTAGGCAAGACCCTGTGGTGTTGAAGGAAATGTTTGCGCTGCTTAACGAGCGTACGGCACGACAGCGTGGCTGCTACTTCTTTAATCGTGTTGGGGGTGAAGGACCTTGTTTATGGGCGACTGCTTTGGAACAGTTGAGTCTGGGTTTTCTCGGGATTATCGAGAAGTTGCGAAAGCGTACACAGGTGGCAATGGAATTACGGGATATCGTTGATGACGCTGTGGATCTTTGCGCCATGTATGTTAATTGGGTGGAATTGAACGGGGAGGCCGTCCTATCGTTGTGTCCTCTGCCCCAGGAAGTAGTAGAGGCATGCGTGCGTGAAGACAATGATGCGGACGTGGAAGGCCATCTGGAGCAATTAAAGCAACAACGAGGTGAAAAGAAGGTACCAAAGCCACCGTTGCCGCCAAACCATCCTCGGTCGAAGGTTTCGCACTTTATTGAGGATACAATTATTCTTAGGGTTATTGCCCACATGTTTCAAGTCGCCCAGGCTGCCAGCAAGAATAAAGAAGGGCAAGGCGACATTGATAGCGGGAAAATGGCTGGTGGAAATAGTGACGGTATTGACGCCACGGATGAAAAAACACAAGAAAAGCAACAACGAAAACAAAATCAACAAGAAGAAGACATCCAACAGTTAGAGGAACAATTGCAGTTGTTGCGGGAATCGGCGGCGGTGGCAGAGCAACGCGCCAATTCGGCTCTTGATTCTTTCAAACGCATGGAGCAGGAAAGAGACAGAGCGCTCTCTGAGGCCGCCGTTTCGCGGGCGGAATTACGACGCTGGAGGCGATTTTACGGTATCGCCGAGGATAAAGTGCCACCCCTTTCGCAGCAACACCAGCACCATCATCAGGTTATTTATCCCGCAGCCCTCACAGGGACAGCTTCATCCGTGGACACACCGGAGCAAAATGCGCCATCCTCGTCGCCGGAAATGGGTTCCAACTCTTCACTTCCAGGCTACCCCGCAAAAGACGTTCTTTCACAACTGGCATATTCCATGAAGGAGCTCACAGAAGAGCTGCGTGGGGCTTTTCAGCGGGGTGCCGTCCTGTCCCACCAGGGCACTGCGGGAACAAACAGTGCGACAGTAGAAACACATCCCGATGGATTATCTAGAGCGGCGGGGAATTCGCGTGAACGGATGACGGCAAGGAAGCAATCACAACGAAACACCGCCTCGCGTAGCTCGGGACTTGTGCGATCACCGAAGGAAGGTATGGAAGTTGCTTCACGGAGTAGGAGTATGTCCCCGCTATCTGCAACTTCATCGCTATTGCCGTCAAGTAAACGCGACAGTCGATCGCCCCCGGGCAATAACACCTGCTCACATAAAATGCAAAATAAGCGGCAACAACGAGATGTACGGCAGGGACCTCTCTTGGCTCCATGCGCATCTGTTGTTGTGACACCGAAGAAGCCAACGTACTTGTCTTTGGCGCGTGCCCATTCAAACACGACATTGGGTGCCGCACGCGCGCCTTCAGCGCCTCGTTACCAACCGAATCTTCACCGTAGTGAGTACTTCAATGAGTGTGATGCTTGCTGCCGGCACCACCGTTCTGGTCTCTCCACGAAGATTGGTGTAGATGCAGTCCCGTTGGCCTCGTCTCGTTCACGCTCGCCTAATCTTCAACTTGCGGCCTCTGCTTCACGCGGGTCACATGTAGCAGGACCATCAAAGTGGCATTTAAAGCAGGATGAGGAGAAAGTTACCGCTCGTCAATACCAGCACGACCGTTCATCCTCTGCGCGACGATCCGCTCGTCTGTCAAGATCATCTACAGGAAAAATTTCACTACATAATGCAGCGAAAGATACCATGGGGACTTCCTCTGCGGTGCGGGAACATCCTGCTGCTGCTTCTGCTAGCTCCTCGCTCGCCGCCACCGCTCATGGTGAAAAACATAATCGTGATCATCATGGAAGAGCAGGTCCAAAGCAACCATCGCACTTTTCGCTTAGCCCAAGCACTTCTACGGTACTGTCACCAGAGAGTACCTTTTGTCCGACCGATGCTGGAGCTGAGCAGTATCAGCAGCAGCACAACCATTTTCAACATCAGCAGTGTTCCCAGAAACAACAACAACAACAACAACAACAACAAGATCATCATCAACATCGAATGACCTCACATCCCTTGAAAGAGTTGCAAGGAATTGGAGGTGCTTCCCTTGGGAAGTCGTTAGAGACGATAGGGCAACACACTGGTCCCAAGACATCACCACATCCTGCTTTGCACAAAGAAACTGTAAGGCGCACAGTAAGTGACAAAGAACAGCAAACACGACAGCTCGACTATTTAAATTCTAAGGACCGGATAAAAGCCCCGCAGAGCGCTAATTTACGGTCTGACGCGGTGAGGAAACTGGCGGACATCGTTTCTAGAACAAAAGTGTCTGGCGATGAGGAGTTATAGAGAAGAGAAAAATTTGGTTTGGATTTTAGAGGAGGCAAGGGAAAATAAAAGGTATTTAATTATTTCACCATTAACTTTCTCTCGGCATGAGGTTTTTGTATCATAATGATGCTTCAATTAGGAGAGGAGGAGGGGATGACTTCTTGAATTGACAAAGTTGTTTTTGTTTTTTTTTACTCCTTTTTTTTTTTTTTACTGAGAGTACACATACGATGCCTTCTTTTTTGTTTTTACATTTTTTGCTGGTACCTGGGGCCCCTTTTTTTTTTTTTTTGCTCATCGAGAGGCGAGCCCCTTGAAGGAGAGGAATAGAGAACAAGTGGGAGGGAAACAGTAATGTTTCCACCATTTACGTGTGGAGACGTGTGTCCACCGTAAAACTACACATTTTATTGGTGAGTGTTTCCTCTGTCTCCTCCATTTGATGTTTTTTTTTTTTTTTTTGCTTATATTTCATTCTGTTTTTCTATTTGGCATCTATAATTTCAAATGTCTTTCTTTCTTTCTTTCTGGCTCTGTATACACATATATATATATATTCTACCCCCGTTGCATGGGGAGTGTGAGAGGACAAAGGGGAAGATAATAAGGTAGGTAAAAGGGGTCTGCCTCATTCCTTCTGCCTTTCGTGAATATATATATATACAACTAGTCAGAAACAGTCCGCCATTCTTTGTGTGTGTGTGTGTGTGTGTGTGTGTGAGGTGGAGGTGAGGAATTGTGCGTGCATTGGCCAGCAGATTCAGGGAAGACGAGCAGGCCAAAACAAAAAATAAATAACACTTGCATCGTCCGCTACTTCATTGGGAATATATATATATATTGGCAGCGGTGGTAGTGGTGTTGTGTATTTTGCCGGTATGTTGTCAAACTGCGGGGGCAGAAATGGGAGTTTTCGTCCCAGGTCTATCCCTTCCGTCTTGTCAGCTTCATCGCCGCTGTGGTGCGCCAGACGGCATCGCCTGACGAATGCAAGTATTTTGTCCAACATGAAGAGCATGGCGGATGAGACAAATGACCTTACATCCAAAATTGTATACGCTACGCGACGACAGCAAGATGCCGTGGCGTGGGCTATCAAGGAAAAAGAGTTGTTGTCGGAGAAAGCAAAGCGACAATTGGAGGAAGAAACACGCCGTCAGCAGGAGGAAGAAAAAATTGAGGCGTATTTAAAAGAGGTGGCGGAGACGTCTGGATCCGCCGCCGCGGAGGCAGCACGACGGAAGATCTCAAGGGCTAAATCACCTTACATTCGCTCTGTGGATGCCTTTGGTGAGAAGAGTGTGAAGCTGCAACACTCCTTCTCTGGTTTAGCCGATAATAGAATCATTACATGGTGGGAAAGGTTATACTGGAATTACCTGCGGTATATCTTTACGCACGAAAGACTCATTGCGAAGGACCGTTTTGGGAATAAGTTTACCGTGACGTGGCAGTTCCAGAAGGGACGGGAGGAGCAGCGTCGTATGTATCGCAAGGACTCCAACAAGAAGCATTTACCATACGGTTCGCTTGCGACGGATGACCGATTATGGGAGCGTTGGATGCGAGGACACCGTGGCGACCCTCCTAGCGTAGCGGAGGAGGAGCACTCTAGGGAATACAAAAAACAGTACTTTGGCGCTATGGTCCTTGAGGAGGAAGAGGTGGAGGACGCATTGATGCGTATTATGGCACATATGAACCGTTCACAGCAGACATTTCAAGAGCTTGACGACGATCAGGTTTACGGTGATGCCCACCGGGCCATGAAACCTCTGCGTCAGGCAGAACACCACCCAGAGAAGGAGCATGCCACAAAGGCACAGTCTGGGGCAACATGGACACTTGGCTTCGTTCGTGGAGACCTATTTTACAACGAGGAGGAGGTCGAAGTGATGCGCACGGAGCTCGGACATGTGTTTCGCAACATGGCGTGGCAGGAGCTTGAGTATAAGCGTCAGGTACGGATGAACAAACGACAACACCCGGTGCGCAAACCGGCAGAGGGAACAACGGATCCAAATGCACCAGATGGTGAGCCGTTCATCCATTACTGGGAGCGCACCGACCTTGGCATTCCGTACCACGACGCGGTCCCGGACCTCACCACACCGGAGCTGGAGCGCTTGCGGGTGGAGGTAGACCAATTAGAGGACGAACGGCTCGCCATACGAAAGGAGCTTGGGTTGACAGATCTCGGCGATATTCGCGAAGGACGCGACCCTATCGACAAGCCGGGCGCTCGTGAGCCTTTCCAACCACCGCCATTGTCATCCCGCTGGCGACCAAAATGTTGGGAAGAGACGTGGGGTACAGGCGCCGGCAATAAGTGGTAGTCTCTCAAACTGTTTTCAATGCCATTATTAGGCGCACGCGCAAATGCATACACCGTCAGGAAGGCATGAAGAGAGAGAATAAGGGATGGAAGGAAGAATAAAAAGCAAATAGGCCGAGATACCTACTCTTTGTACTTGTGTGTCTGTTTGTGTGATATAGGAGGATAGGAATGATCTTTATTTTTATTTTTATTTTATTTTACTCAGTTTATTGCTCTTGTGCTCTCATTATTAGTACCGAAATGCATGTTTTTTTTTTTTTTTGTCTTTTTTGTAGTGGTTGTTTTTTCATTTATCGGAAGGCTTTAGGCGATTCCTCAGCGCAGTGCTGCAAGCATTTAAAGAAATGTCAAGGCTGTCACGGACCCCTTGCAACTCCCTCCACTTTCCTCTCCTCCCTTTCTTCCTGTTGTTGTCGTTGACAGGGCTCATACCCGTGCATGCGAAAAATACCGTCACTTTGCCCGTCGGAAGCATTACGGCACCTACTCCCTTGCCCAGGACGTATTCTTACGAGATGAGTGTAACTCAAACTCAAGTCAGTCCTTCAGGCAGTTTAAGCCAACCCAACAATTCAAGGTCTCTCTCCAGTCGAAGCATTCCAAACAATCCCAGCATCTCCATAAGCGTGAGTACAACTATGACCCAAGAGCATAGCGTCTCCGTTTCCGAGAGCAGTCACCACCAGATAACTCCAGTGCACGTGACAGCACTAGATTTGGAGACGGATCTGAAAACTTACTCGAAGTTAATTAAGACCATCAGCGAATTAACATGGATTTCACACAGTAACATGGTGGTAATTTCATATGACCTGAACTTGCGGTTTGGGGACGATGATAGTGACGAAATTGATGGCGAGGAAGGTGTCTATCGTCGTGTGACCCTGGGGTTTGCGACGCGGGAAGATGCGTCTACCACAAAACGTGCGGTTTTGAAGGAATCAATTCCAAACGTGCGCCTTCACACCCGAACGAAAACCGATGAAACTGGTGGTTTGACAAAAACTCAGAAAGTTATTCTTGGCTGTGCGCTGGGTATCGGGTTACCGCTTATTCTCGCCATTGTTGGCGCCACGTACTTTTTAATCCGGTACCACTCGCATTTTGATAAAGAAGTCGGAGATTTGCGTACGGGGAAAAAGGGAAATACGGTGATCGACTTGGATTATAATGCGGTGAGGATGGCACCAGCGAATACGACGGCACCGACGGTACCCATCAAGCAGAAGAATTCCAGCAAGCCTCTAGAGGATCTCTTGTAAAGCCTTACCCAAGAAGAGATGAGTGAAATTGAACGTCAACCGTTTTTACCTCCACATACAGTGAAAGAGAGAGAGAGAGAGAGAGACAGAGAGTGAAATAAACAAACAAACAAACAAAAAAGACAGAAGAGACAAGGGAAAAAAAAAAAAACAAGAAAGAAAAAACAAACAAACAAGGAGAGGAGACGGTCGGGGTGGGAGAAGACTGATACCACCACCACCAGCACCTGCAGCAGCAGCAGCGACAACACCAACAAAACAAAAGGAAACAAACAGAAGAGTTTGGTGTGGAAGCGGCTGCGTGGAAAATACGCACGGTTGGCGTTGCAAGGATTCTCTGACTAGTAGGAGGCTCACCAATAATGCAAATGGTCAAAGCGTCATCAGTATATATATATATATATATATAATTAATGTCTCTTTCTCTCTCTCTTTATGCGTGTGTGTATATCTCTCTCTCTTTCATATATATATATATATATGCAGACGGAAGCCCGCAAGGATTGGTGGGGATGAATTGTCGGCAAAAAAAAAAAAAAAAATAATAATTTCTTTTTTCTTTTTTTCCTCTTTCTTTCTTTCTATTTTATTATATATCAATTGATTTTAAACCATTCCTTCCTGTATCTGTGCGTCTTTGTCCATTATTTTATCCGTTTTCTTCATTTTTTTGTTCATATATGTATGTATATGTATATGCCTGTTTGTCTGTATGTACATGTACAGCTGCAACCGTATCGATGTCAATTAAAAAAAGTGGGGTAGAGAAAGGGAGGGGAAATAGTGAAATATACAAAGGGGGAGGGGGGGGGAGGGGGGAAATCTGGGAAGTGACGGCTGCGACCGTTATTGCCAGCAGCACACATAAACATACATATATATATATATATATACAGACACATACACATATGAATCATGAGGGGGAGAGTCTTTACATCACTCTTTCACCCTTTTTTTTTTTTTTTTTTTTCTCTTTCTTCAATCATGAAAAAACGATAATAAACAAATGCATACATAAATACATATATATTTATATTAACGGAATTTTTTTTTTTAAATTTCTTTTATTTATTTGACATTTTTTATTTTTATTCTCCTGTTGTGTTTGTTGTTTTGATTATCGTCGAGTTTTTTTATTTTTGTTTTTTGTTCTTCTCCCTCTCCCTCTGCCTCTCTCGCTCTCTCTGTTCTATTGATTTATTTATTTATTTATTTCCCCCCCTTCCCCCCCTCCCCCTCCCTCTCTTTCTCTCTTTATAAATATATATTTATATTTGACAATATTTATCGATTAATTTACCATATTTATATTTATATATTTATATATTTATTTATGTACGTGTGACTGTATGTGACTGTGTGTTCCCAAATTTTTCTTTTTTAAATTTTTTTTACTGCATTCTTCTCACCTCCGAAATTCTTCTCATGTCTTGTAATGAATCTTGCTGCCAATGCCGTTACTACTGCAGTTGCTGGCAATGTTACATGTAGAATGTGAGAGGGGCTAAATGATGCGGTGTGTGTCTGTGTGTGTGTGGTGGGGGAATGGGGGACGGATGAAGCGACGAACTGGTGTACGTATTCATCCAACCAGAAGAATGGGAAAAAAAAAAAAAAATATTTATTTTATCTTACTGCATGACATGTTATATATCTATATAACTATATATATTTATTTATTTATAATAAAATGACATAACTTAAAATACATATAAATATAAATATAAATATGTTTATGTACGTGTATGTATGGGATTAAAAGGAGTGTTTTAACCGGTGTGTGTGTGGGTGGGATGGGGTATAAATGGAAATATTAACGAAAAAAGGAGTCGACAACCTGCTTCCCATACAATAAAGGAATTACACATATGCATACAATACAATACATACATAAATATATATATATATATATTTAAGATCTATTTAAGGAATCCAAACAAGTAAAACATGTCATGACATATACATAAATAAATAAATAAATAAATAAATAAATAAATGTACACAAAATAGAGGAAAACGTGTGTGCCTTTTACCAACAATTTCAGCAACGACGGACATGCAGCAGTGGGCAATACACCTCCTCCGCCTCCGGCTTCTTCTCCCTTCTTCTTCTTTTTATTTTTTTTTTTATTTTTTTTTGTATTTTTGCGAAATGAAAGCCCTGATGTGAGAACCGTGATACGAAAGGGGAAGGGGGGAGAAAAAAAAAAAAAAAGAAAAGGAAAGCGAGGATAAAATTCGAAATGAGTCGTTTTTCTTTTCGTTTGTGTGTGTGTGTGTGTGGAAAGGGGGGGGGGGGAT